TTTTTTTTTTTTTTGAAATTTTACAATTCTTACGTCCAAACGTCCACTTAGAATGGGAGGGGAGTACATATCCATAAATTGCGTGGGCTCGACTACCAACTACTTCCCTCCCAGCTTCCTTTTTTTCTGCGAAGATTTTTATGTTGGTACTAAGATTACTGATTGTGGACCTGAATATACTTTGATATTTTTTCTAAAACCAAGTCATCTAGTTTGTTAATTTCAAGAAATAGACTTGTGTTTTATTTTTTTTGTAATTCATATATACGTGAAAAAAGTAAGAGAGATCATTATGAATGTACTACATTGCAATCCATTTTTTTCAATCTGCTCAAATGTAATCACAATATGAATGTACTTGTCCAGTCCGATATTATATCTTTTTAAAATTAATTAACCACTTCAGATCAAAGAAACAGCAATTGACACCGTACTTATTTTTTGGTCCAAGTAAAGTAATGAAAGTGATTTATATTAAATTTTCTTAGTCGTTAGCACATCTTTATGAGTTATGACTAATCGAATCAATTAGACATTAATGCTCAAATCTTCTGCTTTGGCTATATAGCGTTCTTAAGGTATAAGACTTCAATTCATTTGGTCTTGGAAACATCTTGGAGATAGGAATTGCTAATAAGTATTTATAAAATTAAGCACAAAAATTAAAACCTATGAGTTGATGAATGTAAGGATTTGCAAGGATGCCAAACCCTAAACATGTATGATATTCAAGAATTTGATGAATAGCTCCAAGTATGGAACGAATTCTTTTTTTTCTTTTCATATAGTTAACAGTAAGATGATTCACAGGCAACAATAGCCTTTGGTTACTGAAATTTGTACTCGTAATCGTAATATTACAATTTAGATTATGACTTTTTATTACCAGACTGTCTCCCTGTGAAACACGAAATAAGTTGTTCAGCCATTATCTTCTTCTTTTCTTCGTTAAGAAAATGTGTGCCTTTTCTTTCTTAACTCATTTAATAATTCAAGGATTAAAACAATAACAACATATCCTGTGTAATCCTACAAGAGAGGTATGGGTGTTTATGCATATCTTAGAAAGAGGGTTGTTTCTGATAGACCTTCGGCTCAAGGAAAGCAATTCAAGGATTAAAACTGTAATAGAAATTCCTTCGTTACTACANATATATATATATATATTATAAATTTAAAATATAGCCGTTGGCTATTTATAAAATAGCCATCTAACCTCCCCCAACTTTGTTTAACCCCAAACTTCTTATAATTATACTTTTTCCCTATTTTCAACTATAAATACCCCTTCATTCTTTCATTATTCTTACAAAATCACCAATCTATCACAATCTCTCTCTAATTTTCTTCTATAATTGCTATTATTGCTTACTTTATTGTTACAATTTGTGAAACAATTGTGAAGTTGGTGAA